TCATAAGTCCATTTTTGCACGAGGGTCAAAGTATTTACAGGAGTTATGTCGATCGACGATGTAAATGATATCATCAATAACGCTCTGTTTAGGGGCGTTCGAAATGATAGCCTTTGAAAACCTTTACCGGGACCAATTTGCATTATCAACACATTTAATAGAACAAAGTTTTTTTGTCATTAATAACGCCTGTTTTTAACAAGAGTATAAGAAGTATCGTACAGTGCTTACTTGTAACAGTATATCACATTCTCTGTAACACCATATATTTTATCATCATTCTGGCCTATGGCTTCCTGAGTAAAAAAACCCTCAAAGTCGACATGTTTCCCTTGCATTTTATCGCCATTTTCCCCAAGTTTGTGAGCACTTTCTATTAAGATCACTTTTGTTAGCGGACAGATATTGAGCCCAAATGTTGAATGTGTGATGATATTGTTAATAACTTTTGCATGTGCTAAAAACCCGAAACAGCAAAACGAAACGACCAAACCGTAACGACCGTTATGACCAAAACAAAACCACTGTAATGATCGAGACGAGTGGATGATAAAAAGTTGACTTCCCCTCAAATATTCTCTCGCATTTAAGGATTTTACATATCAAGGCCGTCTCACGAAACTTAATTTTTTCCACCACGCGAGCAACTAAAACCTTAATTTGACACTTATATGTAGTTTCCAGAACGGAACGCCAGCCTCATTGAATGCTGAGGCGTATACGGAAAGGAGAGGAAGAAACAGATTACGGTATTCATTGACAACGTCTATGTCCGTAACTCTTTCATTGATCTTTTTTTTAAACTAAGGTTCCCTCGCCGCCTGATGCTAAGCCGATGGCAATCAAGAGATAACTGAATTTCCCTGTGAGGTAGATCAGGAGTAGACCATAATCTAAACAAGAAGAATATGACGCAGTTTTCCTTCTCTTTGAAATATGGAAGAAACCAGCGAAGAACTACCCAATTTTTCTATCGGCATTGACCTTTTAGGTCCTTATCCAACAAGCAACAAAAATAAAGCCGAAAAAAACTCCTAAGTAGTTTCGGTCTTTGACTTTTAAAACATTTTTTAGTAACACTTGAGTTCATTTGGCTTTGTTTTTCTCCATTTTCCCCGTAAAT